TTTCTACCACTTTTATCTCTAGACTTCCCCGTGGAGAACTGAGGGGCTTTCTGCCTGCACACAGCCCACCCATGCACCAGACGGCTGCACACCTGCTTCAACAAAAAGTTCCTACTGATAGCTCAGATGCCAAATTGACTGATCTCTCCTCCAGCCACGACAGCTCAGCACGATCTCTGCCAGAGAAAGCCTCTTCACTGCTGCACCTCTCCTCTCCCAGTGCTTCCTTGGTGCAGGTTTTAGGCACTTCCCCACAGGGATTGGACACTGCGCAAGACAAGAAATGCCTGACTGTGCCAACTCAGCAAGCTGGCAGCACAGTGCTCCCTGGTGAGGGCACAGAGCCTGTCCCTTCAGGGGAAGTAGAATTGCAAGGCCTGGGCAAAGGGCTGGAGGTGCAGGTAAGTGCTTACATGACCTGCCCAGTACCAAGTGTGCTGGGAAGGAGAATGGATCATTTTGGGGAATGGCACTGAGCAAGGTAGCCACGTGTGCAGAAGAACTGGCAAGCTGTCATGACCCTGGGTATTTGGAATCCTGTAGAGTGGGTGGTTTCAGAGCTTTTTTGGGACAGTGGTGAGGACATCTGGGAGGCACGTAAGAAAACCGCGTGGGCTATAGGGTGCTTGCTGTGTGACAAGAGGGAAGTGGATCCTGTTGGTTTGTGATGTGTTATATCAGGAGAAAGGATCTTTTTCCCATTATGACCTTTGACACTGGGGACTCGGGGCAGTGCTTCAAACCATCAAAGTCAGCATGACTTCATTAATTGTGGCAGTGTGAGTTTGCAGAGGCTCAGAGTTAGACAAAGGCGTGGAAGACTTCTAAATTGCTGGAGCATCAGCAGCTGTGTGGGCCCAAGACCAAAGGCCAGATAAATACACAGTAGAATTGAGATGTTGAGTCAAAAATTTCAATAATCATTCTTCAACACCTGGTTATTTGCTGCTCATGGCACCACAGGTCAATTGTTGTGATTTGTTTGCCCATATTTAGATGTCTAGATGGCTACACATGGGTGGGTTGCTTTGCCTCCTTTGTAGTCAGTGCAGCGAAATGGGTACTTCCAGGATGCAAATCATCCTTGCTCAAGACATGTGTCTTCACCTGGCTGTCAACAAAGAGAAACAGGGCAGAAAAATCCTAGCTGTCAGATTAAACACAAGATCTAGACCTGTCTGTCTTTTTCCTGAGCCCAGGGGATATTTAGAAACTACGCACTGCAGTGTCTAAACCTCCTTAGGGGTCTGATCCTGTAAATATTTTCAAAGTGTGCTTAGTATGTAAGGACGAGGTTGTGCTTCATTGCAGAATACAGTGGATACTGCCTTATTTTAGAGTGAGGTTAGAGAAAGGAGGACACATCCTACAAGAAGGACATTTAGTTGCTGGAGTGTGTCCAGAGAAGAGCAACAAAGCTGGTGAGGATTCTGGAGAACAAACCTTATGAGGAGCAGCTGAGGGAACTGGGGTTGTTCAGTCTGGAGAAGAGGAGGCTGAGGGGAGACCTTATTGCTCTCTACAACTACCTGAAAGGAGGTGGGTGTTGGTCTCTTCTCCCAAGTACCTAGTGATAGAAGGAGAGGAAATCACAGAATCACTAGGTTGGAAAGGACCTTCAAGATCATCAAGTCCAACCATTAATCCAACGCCACCATGTTCCCTAAACTGTGTCCTGAAGTGCCACATCCACATGTTTTTTGAACACTTCCAGAGATGGCGACTCCACCACCTCCCTGGACAGACTGTTCCAATGCCTGACCACCCTCTCGGTGAAGAAATTTTTCCTAATATCCAATCTAAACCTCCCCTGGCTCAACTTGAGGCCATTTCCTCTTGTCCTATCACTAGTTGCTCGGGAGAAGAGGCCAACACCCTTGTCGCCACAACCCCCTTTCAGTGAAGGCCAACCTGCCTTATCCTCCTCATTCCTGTGGTTCCACTCCTCCATCTCCCTGAGGTTTTCTCAAACACCTGACTGAACTGACTGAAAAACAGACCAAAATTTAATTCATAGGCCAACAGCATAGAAAATGTAGTGTTTCTCTCAGAGAGTTTGGGGTCATAAGGGCCACCTTTTGGTGTGCAAGTGTTGCGTGATATCTCCCCCAGGTTTCATTGTTTGTGATGACCTTCTTTTGGTTTGTTTTGTTTCCCAGGTGGAGCCACCTGTAACCAAAGCACCAGAGCTGGGAAGCCCATCTAACAGTAGTCTGAAGAAATGTATGGAGTCCTGCCATTCATGCTCTGTGGAAGAGTCACCAAGAGATCCCAATGCTGAACGAGAAAAAGAGGCAAAAGAGAAGCACTTGAACACAGAGCCTCTGCCCTCCCCTAGCCAAGCTGAGGGGACAGAGGGCACCTCCCGAGATACAAGCAGGGGTGGGAGCAGCTGCCAGGAGTTCCTGAGGTTGTCCACTGGCAAGGAGGTGATGAAAGAAATGTCCAGAGTGAAAAGAGAGGTTTGTTTAACGTTGGGTGAATTTCTCTGCCCCTGGAGGGATGTGGGTTGTTACTTGACACCCCTAGGTTTTACAGTCTCATGCAATACTGTTCTTCTGCAGGCTGTAAAACGTGTCTGCCAGTTTTGTACGTCTGTGTATGTGTACGCACATGCCAATTGCTGCACTGAGTGTTGCCCAGTTTGTTTCCTGTCACACTTCAGCTGTATGCTGAAAGGTAAAATGCTACTTTATTGCTGAAATAGAGTGCTTGAGAGGACTGAGGAGACCTGTTTTGCTTTTCAACAGCAAGAAGAAAAAGTGTCTGACATGGGAAGACGACAGCTGATGCTTTTTGCTGAGCACAACCGTAGTTCTGACCTTTCAGATATTTTGGAAGAGGAGGAAGAGGATGAACTATCTTCAGAAGCTCTGGAAGAGAAGAAATGGGATCAGAGAGACACATGTTACCGGGAGAATGGGGAAAAGGTAACCTGTAGCAGAGTAATGCTTGTGGGGAGTGCCAGTGCAGCCATCCCATGTCATCAGCTTACAAGAGGAGGTGCTGGTCTGAGCCCAGTGCTCTCAACAGCGCTTGGCTAAGTTCCTGCCTGCTCTGCTTTTACTCCCAGTGTTATCTTAAGCTAGTAAAAATGCAAGTTCTTTGTGAGAGGGAAGGATATTTATATGTCATGAATGTACCCAGGGTTTAATTAGTTGGAAAAACACACAATGTAATGTGAACTTTAGAACCCAGGGTTAAAAATCAATCCTATTGATCAAGTTCTTAATATAGATATAAACAGTGAGCACACAGGAATCCGTAAAGTCCACCCATCTGTAGATCTGTACCAATCCACTTTCCCTCTTAAGGCAAAACAGGAATGTAATATTTTGGTCTCTGCCCTGCAAGCACTCCTGAATGTGAATGACTTAATGCAGATTATTTTGCTTAGACCTTGGTGCTTTATGTAGGAATGGATGGCTTGTAGGAGCAGAGCCATGGCTTTGCAGTTCAAACGTTGCAAGTGAGAAAATACTGGTCAAATTGAACTATGAATGATCATGTTAATTCATGTTACAAGTTTAAACAGTTAAAGCTAGTTAGTGTGTTATAATGCATCTGCAACAGGTGATGGGGTTAAAACTGCATAACTGGAAAGTGGTATGTCATTCTACAAATTATGTCAGTTGAGATGAATGTGTGCGAGGGAAAGCATTAAGGTTGCATGACTGAGAAATTTGAAAGACATTTGAAGAAATGTGATGTGCCTGTAAACAAGCAAGCACCCTAATCGCTTTCATGTGACCAAAGAACAGCTGTACTTTGCTGATGTTGGCCTGTGTGGCTGCTAGCCTGTAGCACAGATGGGACGGATCTGGTGAGCATTAAATGGACAGTAGCAGACAGTGTGGTGAATCTGGAGTAAATTTGCTGCTGCTCCTTTTCCCCTTCTGAAGGGGGTTCTGCTTTCTTGGTGGGGAGTTGGACCTGCAGTACAGTGTGTCAGGAGCCCCAGGAGAGCCTGGTGGCTGGAGATGCTTGGGCTGCCTGGGGCAGAGCTGTTAGGAGGGCTTCCACTTGTTGGGATTACACTGTAAAAAATGGAGGAAAACCAGTTTCCCTGGAAAGAGAAAAGAGGAAATAAAAACAGTCAGGAAT